CCTAACCTTTGATAAGAGTATTTTCCCGATCTGGTCCAGGCTGAAATGAAGTGCCCTCTTCCCCTGCCCTGCCCTCCATCCTCCATGGGTAGGGCTTGCTGTGGCACTTGCTGTGAAGCACTGTGCAGTGGCACTGTCCCTACAACACGAGTCCTCACAAACATTGCTCAGTCGTTGGCTCCTTTCCTTCTCCTTTGCATAGCACAGCTGTCAGGGCAGCAAAGTCGCAAAGTCACGAAGGACTTGCCTTTTGAGATATTCGTTCTTTCCCCCTCAAGCCTAAGAACCATAGGTTCCCAGAGGCAGACCGTGATGTAGGGGAGTGGTTCTCCAATGATCTGAGAGACGGAGCTGTTTGTTGTTTTTAAATTCCCAAGTCGTAAGATCAATGGTGGTGTGGTTAATCTTCCTCCCATCGGCTTCGGTTCATGGTGACTTCATGTGTGACCAAACGAAGCCGTCCGTCGGAGGGAATTCCCTGGTTTTGGCCGACACTCTGCTTTACCCAGCAGCATAATGCGCACCTCTAGTGACTTCCCTGTTCTGACGCCGTGTCTCAAGGAGGGGAGTGGAAGTCTCCTGAGTCTCCCGGCGAAGGCACACTTTTTCCTTTAAGACTGCCATCCTCACTCTTTTCACATAGCAAGACTTTAAAAAGGACAAGGATCGACTCTTTTGACAACTGAAACCACAAAGTACAGACACAGAAAACACAAGTTCACTGGTGGTGTGCTTAGATCTCATGGCAGTATCAAATCGACACCATTAAAATGCTCACACTGCCAAGCATATGGCTGCCATCAGGAGAACCAAGGGGTGGTGGGGGGAGGGGGGGCATCTCCTTCCGTGTCGATGCAGAAGGGGGTTGCCACCCTCCACCCCTTCTGTTTGCTGTGGCTCCTGTTCCAGCACAGGTGACCCCATGGATTAGAGTAGACGGCTTCAGGGGAATTTTGTTTCTTTCCTTGCCGGCCTGCTTGTTTTAAGCAGGTCACCACAGTGTTCACTGCCAGTGTTAGTGGGTAGACACCAACCTTTACGTTTGTCAAAGAAGCCCTCAAAGTCATTGCCACCAAGTCCATTCTGAATTCTGGTGCCCGAGCAGGGGTCTGAACTGCCCCTGTGGGTTTTTGAGACAATAGCTGTTGGCAGGAGTAGAAAGCATCCTCTTTCTCCCGAGGGGAGGCTGGTGGTGGAATTAATGACCTCTCTTGGTTTGGGGCTCAATGCATAACCCCTAAGCTGTGAGGGCTCCTTTGAAAGTTAGCGATCTTAAAGTCAACAGAAAAAAAAAGAAAGAAAGGAAGGAAAGAAAGAAAAAAAGTTAGCGGTCAAGTACAAATCCCTTGCACACATCCCTCCGCTCCTCCCCCAGGACCATCAAACTGCCGTTCTGTAAGAGGTTCTGAAGGTTCCAAGGACCAGGCCTGCATAGTCCCCACACCCAGCACTTCAGCGCTGGCCTGAGTGGCACTGACCCAATGGGACTCCGGAATTAGAGTTTTATCCCTGCATCTGTCTTTTTTCTGGACATTTTTAGGTTGTTTCCACTCTGAGATGCAAAACCAGAAAGGAGAACGACAAACTGGCAGAGGACATGAGAAAAGCCGAACAGACGAGCTCTCCAGGGAGACCCTCGCTCTGGTTCCTCCCCCAAAGCCGCTCTCTCCCCTCTTCGCCCCAGCACCTGGGCTCGCTCAGAGATGGCAAGGCTGGCCGCTCCTCCAGCATCCCCAGCAGCGCCTGCCTGGACCAGAAGGTCCTCTCCTGGCAGGTGCAGCGCTCGGTGGACCTGGAGCTGGAGAGGTGCTGGCAGCAGGCGGGCTTCCCAGTGATCCAGAAGAAGGGGGAGCTCTTACCCTCCGGGGCCGAAGTGGATGCTGACACTGGGGGGCTGCCAGAGCCCACTCAGGAGGAGTGGAAGCAGGTGAGTTGAGGCCAGGCGCTACTTCTTGAATGTGACTGCCATCAGGAAGTACCCAGGATTTAAAATAGGCCAATATCCCTTTATGCCAGTTCGGACTCTTTTTGGTGGCATTTCCCCCCTGATGTTAAAGCACTCCTTAACTTGAACTCAGTGCATGTGAGACAAAGCATTATCATACTAGTTGTTAAGGAGCATTTCACTGTATTTTTTCCAAGACAGGTTTGCTTGTTCTTTTGGCACTATTCTTTAAAGGCTCTTTCAATTTTTGTTGTCGACATCACAGTTCAAATGTATCAGTCTTCTCCACCAGCCTATTCTCTCAGGTATCCAAGATGATTGAAAATAAACTGGCTTGGGCCAGATGCATCTTAGTCTTCCCGTTGACGTCCTTGATCTTCAACCCTTTACAGAGATGATGTGAAGCAGAATAGCCCAATGTCATACACCGTTTGATTTCTTGACTGCTGCTTTCAGGAGTATTGATTGTGGACCCAAGTAAAATGAAATCATGACAACTTAAATTGCAGTTGCCAGTCATAGTGCATGACTGTTATCCTAGAAAATGTTGTCTCCTAGCATAGCACGTCCACCACTTGTCTGTCAGGTTTTCATACCGTGATGGCTTGTTTGTCACTGTGATGATGGAAGCGGTGCCACCAATATTTCAAATACCAGCAGGGCCAGTTACGTGGGAAAGTTTCATCAGAACTCCTAGGAGAAGAAAAAACTATGAAGAAGTAGTAGGTGTTCCATTTTAGGGGTATGAGCCCCTGAAAACTTGTTAGCAGCAGTGGAACACTGTCTGATACTGTACGAGAAGATGAGCACCCCAGGCTGCAAGGTATTGACTGGGGTAGGGCTGTCTCCTCAAAGTGGGGTTAACATTGATAAAGCGGATGGGACAGAGCTTTGGGGACCTTCACCTGCTGAGGCGTCATAAATCAAAACTGAAAACAAACAGCTGCAAACAGCCAGTAATAAGTTGAATGTGGAAGGTATGAAATATGAATCTGGAAAAACTGGAAATTCTTAAAAATGAAAGGAGACACTTAAAGATCAATATCCTGGGATGGATTGTTATCAACTATTTTGAATCAGACCATCAATGGGTTACTATACCAGAATGACAATTTCAAGAGGAACTGCATTGCATTTATTGTCAAAAATATTTATTTCAGCGTCTATACTGAAGTATAATGCTGTCTGTGGTAGGACATCTATGTGCCTGTGAGGAAGTCCAATAAATCCCACTATTATTCAAATCCACACACCAACCACTAAAACCAGCGATGAAGAGATTGAAGAATTCTACCAGCTTCTTCGGTTTAAAATTGATCAAACTTGCAATCAGGACACTCTGATAGTGGTGACTGGAATTTGAAAAGGGGAAATGAAGAGAGATGAACAATAGTTGGAAATATGATCTTCCTAATAGACATAAGGCTGGAGATTGCATGATAAGAATTTTGCAAGACTAGTGATTTCTTCATTGGAAATATCTTTGTTCAACAACATTAACAGTGACTGTATACATGGATCTCACGAGGAGCCAAATGGACTGTATCTGTGGGAAGAGACCACAGAGAAGCTCGATATCAATCGCCAAAACAAGATTGGGGGCTACCTGTGTAGCAGAGCATCAGTTGCTCATATGTAAGTTTAGGTTGAAACGGAAGAAAATTAAAATGATTCCATACACAAAAGAGCTTAAATACAACTTTGAGCAAATTCATCTGAATTTTGAGAACATCTAAAGAACAGATTTGACACATTGAATACTGTGGTAGTTACATAATTTCATGTCAACTTGCTCAATAGAATGTAGGGGTGGTGGAATGTCAATCAGGTCACAGGGTAACACCCACCAGGAGGATTCTGGGAACTTCCTCTTTTATCCTGGGAAGAGGACCACGCTCTCAATCTTCCTGCATTTGGTGCCATTGCTTGTGTTTTGTGAGTCTGAAGAGGAATTTATAGACTGGTATCTGACATATGGGCTAATATCAGACTTATGGACTTGATCTGGACTAGGCTGGGATAGTTTCTTAATATCCAATTACTCTTTGATTTAAAGCTCTTTCTTTTACACACATGAGCGTCCATGGTTTTGTTTCTCTAGTCAACCCGGTCTAACACAGACGCTAATGACCAAAAACCTGAAAAGTTATGGGATAATATCAAGAACGTCATCTTTGACAAAAGAAAACAAGTCATTGATAAGATGGAAGAGAGAAAAGACCAAAATGCTGGTCAGAAGAGACACTGAAATGTGCCCTGCAAGGTGGAGTCTTACTCGCTGCATCAACTTGATTCTGTCTCAGGGACCCTACTGGGACTTGCCTCGTACTGATGTGCAAACTGGACAATGAATCAAGAAGACCGAAGAAAAGCTGAAGCATTGGTTTCTGGTGTTGGTCAGGAATGTTCAGTTTCAAGGGTTCCCAGAATAATAAACAACTTGGACTTGGAAGAGGTACTGCCAGGAACGAGGAGAGTGAAACTTAGTCTCAGGTACTTCTCATGTGTTGTCAGCGAGAGGAGTCCTTGGAAAAAGACGTAGACTTACTTGGTCAAGTAGAGGGTTCGTTAAATGAAGAGGAAGACCCTGAAGAAGATGGATGAACACAGTCTCTACAAAAACGGGCTCACACACAACCGCTTTGAAGATGGATCAGGAACTGGCAGTGTCTCCTTCTGTGGTGCATAGGGTTGGGCCTGGCTCCGTGGCACCCCACATTAACAGCACTGACACATGGAAATGGAACATTAGCCGGATGGTGGTGTTTTTCTCTGTTTCTAGGGAGTTTGGGCCACCACATGTCTATCAGTTTGTTGTACTCTGGCAGCTTGTGTGTTGCTGAGATACTGAAGGCTATGTCACTGGTATTTCAAAGACCAGCAGGGTCACCCAAAGCGAACGGAGCTTCCAGACTAAGAACAGATGACAAAGAAGGAATAGATTGTCGGCTTCAGAAGAGTTGGCCACTGAAAGCCCTCGGGACAGCATCGAAACCTTGTCGGTTACTGACAACGTAATGATTACAAGGACAACGTTGTCAGAGATGATGCCAGAAGATGAACCCATCGGGTCAGAAAACCCAAAACTCCCTGCTATCGAGTTGAATCCAACTCATAGCAGCCGTACAGAAGAGGGAAGAACTCCCCTGTGGGTTCTGAAGCTGTAACTCTTTACGGGAGCAGGAAGACACCTCTTTCTCCTGCGGAGTGGCCGGTGGTGTCACACTGCTGACCCTTCCCTTGGTAGGCCAATTCATAACCACTCTGCCCCCAGGGCTCCTGCGTGTCAGAGGCATTCAAACAATGACCGAGCAAGAGCTGCCCTCCTCAGGCAAAGTAGTCAACCATAAGGATATGGATGGAGTAAAGCCTGTGGGAGTAAAGCCTTGCGGGGAAACGCTGGTGACATAATGGGTTACATGTTGGACTGCTACCTGCGAAACCAATCGTTTGAACCAATCAACCACTCTGAGGGAGAAAGATGAGGCTCTCTTCTCCCATGAAGATGTACAGCCTGGTAGACCCTGGAGGAGTTTTGTCCTGCCCTATAAGGTTGCTATGAGCTAAAATTGACTTCATAGTAGTGGGTTTGGTTTTGAACTTGATTAATGCCCTCTCCTGCGTTTGCCCAACACCAAAACTAAACCCAGTGCTCTGGTCCATACACAGTCTAACCGTAACCATGGAATTTGATTCTGACGCACAGCTCCCATGAAGGACAGAGTAGAACTGCCCCTGAGGTCTCCAAGACTATAAATCTTTACAGAAGCAGACTGCCACATCTTTGTCCTGAGGCGTGGATGGTGGATTAGGACTGGTGACTGTTTTGTTAGGAGCTGAGTGCTTAATTGAGCCACCAAAGTTCCAATAAAACCCACTAAGTCATGTGTCCATTCCTGTGGCTGTGAGTCTGTAGTCTGTGTATCTGTGTGTACAGACAAACAAATGTAAGGCAGTAAACTATTGTCTGTGTTGTTATAGACACATTGACAGAATCTATAGCTGTCAGTTGATAGATCCATGTAAATTACGGTGAGTTGCTGTTGAGTCAATCCTGATTCGTGGGGACCCATGTGTCTCAGAACACACTGCTCCGTAGGCTCTCAAGCCGGTGACCTTTCGGAAGCGAGTCACCAGGCCTTTCTCTCAAGGTGCCTCTGACTGGGTTAAAACCACCAAGCTTGTCGCTAGTGGTCGAGTGCTTAACTGTTTGCACCACCCAGGGCCTCCAGAGAGACATTTAATGAGTGTGATAGTTATATCATCTGGTGTCAACTTGGGACTATTAAGAGTGAAGGGGTAGAGTTTAGCCTGTCAGGTCGCAGCTTGATGACCTAATTTAGAGGCACTATGGAGATAAATAGCTCACTGGAGCCCAGACCCACTCTTTCTGCTCGACATTCATGTTAACAAGCCACATGGAGTTACGCTGGAGCTGGAGGAGCCATGTGGAGACCCACACCAGCACTGAGATGCTTCCACCACCATTGAATCCATAACACTGGCCACCCACTGGCCTGTAAACTTTCAGCATTCAGCGTCATTGCATGTGTTCATGAGTCTGAAGAGGAAT